TGCCTGTGACACCTGACTCCCAGATAAAAAGCATCTCCTCCATTCCCCTGTGCAGTAAGCTTTTTATCACAGCCTGGGCACTGGGTCTCCCTCAAGGCTAGGTGTCCAGGAACCCATGTCCTTGTCCCCATTGGTCATGGCCTTCACCTGACCCCCAGCTTATCTCCTAATCTTTCTCCTGGGGAGTCCTGTTGTTTTCTTCCCTGGAAAGTCTGCAGACCTTCAGCCCCCATCACATGCACACCCAACACCTCTCCCACCTTGCCTGTCCCCCCTCTGCCTCTCTGCTTGCGGGCTCTCAGCGTGCCTTTCTTCCAGGGCCCCCTAAGGAGGATGAAGTGCTTATTACTCCTTCTCCTGCCATGTGATCTTCCACAGGCATCCACAGCAAGACAGTCTTAAAACTCCAGAGGGAGTCTTCCTTCTTCCCCGCCTCCTCTGTGAATTTGTTTCCCAGCTAGGAGGCCTGGGGGCAGGGGTTAGGATGGAGTGGGGTGGTGAATCTAAGCTGGGCTGCTCTTCTCAGAGGCTTCACCTCCCCCCTCCTCTGCACCTTGGCCCGTGTAGAACCAGGGATTGAACCCAGGCTCTTGGGCTTACCAGGCAAGTGCTTATTCTACGGAGCTGTCTCCCTGGCCCCTGGATTTCTTTTCTTGCTCACTGTCTTTCTTTCTTGGTCTGGGGGAATTTCCTGCTGGCTTCAGGCCTGTGCAGTGTAGTGATCACCGGGGCTCCAGTCGGGATAGCCCCCACGTCTCTGTTGCTGCCGCTTCAGACAGGGACTCGAAGAGGCCTGGTAGGTTCACATGAATGCTGAAATTTAAATAATCATTCTAAGAAATCCTCGCAGCACTGCCCTTCTTTCCCTCTGGAGTTGGTGGGCTCAGCTGTGTTTCAGCAGAAGAGGTTTTGTTCAGGAAACCTCAGTGTGAGCAGCTAATGCGTGACCTCCTCTGGGCCTGTGTCTTCTCCCCATGGTCCCTCCCACATCTGCCAACTGCTGCCATCTTTCTGGCGTTTCCCTCAATCTGTGTACAGTCCGCCTTTGAGCCCACACCCCTGCCCACCAGCACCTGCTTTCTGTGTTAGATTAGGGAACAAGCCCGGGATTTGCAGAACTGAAAGACTCTTGGCTCTGCCACTTGCCAGCTGTGAGCCCCGGGGAGCCGCTTAGTGCTGATGCCACCCCCGCCCATGGATGTTGGGAGACTAGCATGAAGTGTCAGAGGTCATCGTGACCCTTGCCAGCGTTGTACATGGGCCTGGGCTGCTCCAGTCCTCATGAGTGGTTTTCTGTGGATCCTGTGTGCACAGAGCTTCCTACACTTCGCCTTTTTCTCAGCCCTGGAAGGTGGCTGGACCCTGGGCCAGTCAGTACCCAAGCCAGTGGAAGCCTTACACAGCCTTCCCAATATCCAGGGATCTGGACGCAACAGCTGCCCTCACTGCTGCAGCCCCACAACCGGGCTTTCCTGTTGGGCACCTTCTGCTTCCGTCCTCTGTCCACGCTCTCCATGCACTGCCCCCTGCCCCAGCTGCCCCAGCTGCCCCAGCACAGGCCTGCCATCCACGCCCAACTCCCTCCCAGTCGTTCTTTCTAACACATGAACTCTCTGGCTTCCTCTTTCTCCTAAGTCTGGCCTTTGGCATCAGTCCTGCACTCTTTAAGTTGAACTCCGAACCCTGTTCTTCCCTGCAGACAAGGGGCCCTGACCAGTCAGCCCCATGGCTCATCTTCAAGCCGTGGCTCTCTGGAGTCTCACTGCGGACTTCTGTGCTGGGCCTCAGGCCTTAGACCCAGATAGTTGCCTCCTTGCTCCTCACTTCCCTTTGCGCAGCCTAAGCAAATGGGGCTGTCCCTCTGGCTGTGGCCACAGGCCTCCAGCTTTGGGCCTAGAACCCCCTAATCCTGACTGGTTTAAGTCCATCAGCAAACACATGTGTAGCACCCACAGGAGAACTTTGCTGGATACGAGGGACTTACGGAGACAAGGCAAGGCTCCAGATCAGGGCGAGGGAGAAAGACATGGAAACGGCCTGATGCTGCTTGGGTGTTCTGCCAGAGCATTCTCAGAAACAATGCCTTCCGCATTCCCTCGGGACTTTCAGTCCCGTATTCCAGCTGGGGTCAGGGCAGAGGCAGAGAGCAGCTGAGAAAATTTAAACAAAGTTTAGGCAGTTGTTTGGAACTGTGGGTGCTTGCTCACGTGGGATTACGGGTTGAAGAATCAGAAGATAAAAACATCAAAAGGCATCATTTTGGTTAGTTGCTCTTGGCCAGTTTCCATGGGAGTCGGGAGAGGAACAGGGCCAAGGAGACAGCGGGGCAGGAGAGTTTACTAAAGGTTGTGCATCTGAAATCAGCTTTCTCCCAATATTTCATTGCTGCTAATGCTTTGGAGGCTCTTCATTCCAACAGCATTTCCTTTTCCTTCCTGAAAAATTTATTTCTGTCTCTGGCTTCAGTCCTGCCCCCTGAGGAGGGCCGAGATGGGAAAGTTGGAACGCCGTTAGTTGGGACGTCTACCTCATCTAACAGTTTCTGTCTCCTCCAGCCATTCTGACATTTTCATTTCTCCTTTGGCCTTCCCCCTTTTCTGTTTCATGGTCTAGTGAAGCAAGTTGTGCTTTTTATGTGGTCATGCGACTGGGGGACCCTTCTGGGAGACCCAGGGCTCCTGAACACCCACTCACTCCTCTCCTGTGGCTGCCGTGGTTTCTTCTATTGCATTTGTACTCCACGGTAACAAATTGTAGGGAGAAGTGCCCCTCAGGGTCACCTGTGGTGTGTTCTGGCCAAGCCTGCAGTCTCCTTAGCCTCTTAGCCTGCCAGCACCCTTGGGAATAGGAACCTGCAGGGTGGTGACGCCCTGGGGAACGTACACGTCCACAGTGACCTTCGCTTTGAGGATGAATGCCCCGGCTGTTTTGCCCTTGGCGGGCCCATCTTTTAAGTGTAACACGCAGCGTCTCTGGATCTGGGTGAGACTGTGTGCCACTTGCCCTTGTGGTCACTTATCCCTTAACGCCCCCTTCACTGGCTTTCTCTCCTCACGTCACCTCCCTCCCTCTGATTTTTAGGATCACTTTCTGAATCAATAACTTGCACATGAAAAGCTTGTAGGGTCCACTTCTGGAGAAATTCAAGTGAAACACAAGAGTCACTAAAGCGTGGCATGTCCTCTTGGCTTTAGTGTTTGTAACTTTTGTTGAAATCTCTGGCACCTAGGACTGGAAAACACTTGATAGTCCAGTTCCGTTTCTGCCTGAACCCCCGTGCTAATCTGTGACTCAGTTTCCCCATTACCAACTTTCTCTGTATCACTCCATTCTTAAGAGTTTATATTCCAAAGTTAGTGGTTGCTGGTTCCATACACCACGACCTTATTTCTTACGTGAAAACATTTCCTAGCTAGAGATGGCATTTGAATCAGCCAAGTAGACTGAGAAAGGAAATTTGAGGTGGAGATGGGGTCGTATTTGCTGTTAAATGTGTCTCCTCATTCCTCCCTGTTTATGGCCAAGTGGTGGTAATTTGCCTTTGTGATCACAAATCAAAGTTTTCTTTTAAAATGTATCTGTTTAAATAAATGAAAGTGAGTCATTTTAAACAAACAATAATGTAGCAAATGTTCACATACCAGGAAAATTATGAAATACTAAAATTTGGGAAACTGTTCCAGAATGTGGGTCTAGATATCTCATGCAGGGAGCACGAGTGTGCTTTGTCCTTATGACTCATGTCAACTATTGTTTATGACCTTTAAATTTTTTCTTTGAGAGAGAGAAGGGTGGAGGTTTTCTTGTGATTCCAAAAGATATTTCTGGAAGCCAAAGTATATTTCTGACCAGCCTGTGTAAGCGAAGCTATTTAAGGTGGGTCAATCATGATTGCTTGACTGCATGAATATAGCAAAAATAGACCGTGAGACTTAGAGTGAAATGCCAGGTATTTGCTCCTGGAGGTGGCCTCAGGGAACTCAGGCCCAGCAGCACGTAGGGCAGGCACAGATCCGCTTCTGGGTGGTAGTGATTATTGATTTCTGGAAAGCTGAGCTATAAATGAAGTCATGGGAGCCGGGAGCCTCACTCCTGGTGCCTGCGCGGCTGACTGAGCAGACCTACCACTCCAGGCAGGAGCCCTCATTTACGGGAACATATTTATTTTTACATATCAATGATGTATTTTTGATGTAGTTGATTAAGTATTATGGGCTTGGCCCCAGGACACACTGCTGGGATTTATAAACACCACTGCAGTTTATAAATAGTGAGTCCAGGGTTGTACAAGGTTCCTGGAATTAGAACAATATTTTTGTTTTTATGTGTCTTTGTACATTTACCTTTTTCTGTTTTCTAAAGACTAGCTCTCACCCAAATATGTCTGCTTTTACTTCTGGAACACATCTTTGTTTGTACTTGTAGAACTGACTGCTGTGTACTCTCAGATGCCAAACTATGCAAGTGAGTCTCAGATAACAGTTGTTAACCTATTTTAAATTTAAAACCAGTGCCCATCACTTGAGGCCCCTTTCCACTTGAAGGCAGCTTCCACTTACTACTTGGAAAGGGATTTTATCATTTGGCAACACTTCAGCCATGGTTTACTTTTGGTACCCAATTCTTCAGGCTCCAGAGACACTTCACCAAACCCATTGAGGCAGATTTTTATCACCATCTGACCGCCTAACTCCTTTTCCCAATCCCCACAGAAATGGAGATCTTCACGCTCTTCAACAAACCGAAGGACCATCAGAAGTGCCGGCAGTACTATCCCGTCACCATTCCTCTTCGCATCTCCAGGAATGGCCAGACAGTGAACAACCTGGACGCCAACTGGTTGGAGCACATGAGTGACCACTTCCGGAATGGAGGAATGCTGGTGAACGCAGTCTTCCACCTGGGAATGGCTCATGGTACGGAAGCCGGCCTTTGCGGGCTCTCAGTAATTCTACTGATAATGTGTGGTCTTGGTCCCTCTGCAGAGTGTGCTGCATTCAGAAAGCTGTCCGGGCAGTAAACATGTGACATTTAATTTATAATTAATGCATCTGGAGCAATTTCCATAAAGCCAAGGACTTGTGCACTCCGGACCTCTCCAGGGGTCAGCCAGGTGCCTTCTGAAATGCCAGCGAAAGGGCAGTGATTCTGTGTCATCAACAGTGGCCTCCATCCTGTTGCTTTTAAAAGCTTTTGCAAAGATGATTCCCTGGGATTGTTAATTACCCCCTGGAATTATGTCACACTGAAAGTGCAAATTGTTTGTAGACACTATTACAGTTTGAGGTAGCAGGAGCAGCACCTTGGAATCGACAGCAGAGAAACAAACGGCACCGCCTGCTGTCTCTAAGCTCCACGGGGACTCAGTCTGCTCCTGTGTGTCACAGCCCCCGGTCCAACCCCAAGAATGGGTTATTTCTAGGGGGTTGTTGCCTAGAAGAACATTAGTGATGCTTGCTGTCATGGCAGAAAGAAAGGCTTCCCGCACTAGGAAGGCGTCAAGCAAAAAAACGAGTTTGGGGTTAAGGTAAGGCAAATTGAGTCACCCTCATGCTGTGTGTCAAAACTGGGGTGCAATTTGGAGAGTAGGACTAACATATCAGCTCTCCAGAGCCTGAGGGCTGCCAGACAGCAGGCTTTGCAAAGGACATGCATCACCAAATTTTCAACCCCAACAACACCTGGCGACATCAAATTTGTCAATCCTAACAATACTGGGTCTTGTTAAGTTTTTTCTTTAAAGAACCAGCAGAGGTAAGAATGGATTCTGTATTGCAATCCTAGAAATGCCAGCAAGCATCTTTAGGCACTAGGGTTAATTCTGAATGTACATTCTTTAAATCATCCAAAACCTTGGAAAGTGACAGAGCGTAGACAGGTTGCAGTTTTGTATGCGGGTCACTTCTTAATATCTAAGTATCTATGCCTAATGTCAACATGTTACTATAGTAGCAGAAGGCATTGTGGTACTGCTGGGCCATGATCATTGGTCGGGTGGATTCATGACATGAGGAAGGCACTTACCTCATTAAGAATATGTCTAGGGGGGCCTGGCCCTAGCTCAGTCCTTTAAGTGGCTGCTTCCACAAAGCTGTCAGCCTCAGGTTCCTGGAGTTCGAACCTCACAACTCTCCCGCTGGCCAAAAGTGACCTGAAGGCATTCGAGGAAGAAAAAAAAAAACCCTTATTCCATTTAAATTATAATAAAAATAGATATTATTCAAACTAAAAAAAAAAAAGAATATGTCTAGAGGGCCAGCCAAATAGTTCAGTGGTTTGAAGCTCCTGCAAGCAGGCTCAGGAGCCTGGAGTTCGATCCCTGGGCCTGCTGTGTCGACCCCACCCCTGGGGTGTGTGAGATGGCAATTGAGACTGGGTGTGGTAGCATGTGTCTATAATCCCAGCTCTTGGGAGGCTGTAAACAGGTGGATTACGATGAGTCCGGTGTAGTAGTGAGACCTTGGACACCCTGTGGACCCTTCCCTAAAATACCAAAAAAAAAAAAAAAAAAAAAAAAAAAAAAAGAATATGTCTAGAGCAGTGGTGCTGTCCAGTGGAACTTTCTGTGATGATGGACTGTTTTATATGATGAGTTCCAATTTGGTAGCTACCAACTATTTGTGGGTATTGAGCACAATTTATTTTAAAATTTACTTAATTTAAATAACTAAATGAAAGTGGCTATTGCATTGGATTATGCAGTTCTAAGTAAGGTGTACATTTTATCAATGCAAATAAGGAAGAGTCACTTCTGGTTCCCAGTTACAAGGTCAGTAACCTCTCTGTGCGTGAGGAAACCCTCCATGGTAGCTACAGGGGGCCCTGTTTAGAGATACACCTTAAAGCCCAGGGAGTACGTGCTTGTGGTAGGTGTTCGTGGCTTGATTTGTGGGTCTAAGGAAGTGCTGGGAAGGAACACTGCTTCCTGTAGGTCTACCCCATTGTCCATCTTAGGCTAGGGTCATAGCAGCTCTTTGGATCTTCTCTGGCCTCCATAGATACTCCATGTGGCTATACATAGCTTTACACTTCTCCACAAGAAACTGATGGCTAATGCTGACCTCCTGACAGCATGCATGGAGCCGTGGGAGGTAGTAGCCACACAGGCTGCCCCTGACAACATTTTGTCCTCTTAGGAGAACTGGGACATCAAAGGGGAGGTTTTCTCTGGCCCTACTGCTTGAGCATGTTGGGCGAACTGAGCTTCAGGAGAGCATGCACTGAAGGTTCATGAAGCCCTTAGTTTTCCCCTTACCATTATGGTTTGCATAATCCAGGCTCAGTGAACGTCCTCTACTTTCTCTCCTCATTCTGCTTTCCAACCTTGAATCTAAAAGTACAGAGAAATCATACGGATTTTAACCTTCAGATTTGCCTTGAATGTTTCAAACCCTGTCATATCCTCCCTTGACTTTCAGTGGCATTAAATCCGGCCTTCCCATCTTGAAGACCATGTGAAATGTCCCCTGGCATGTGTAGCTGTGAAGGCCTCCCCGAGCCTGTTGCGGCTCCTCCATGCAGCCGTGTCTAGCGCTGCGCCGCAGCCATGTGGCTGTCTGGGGAGGGTGGACATGCAAGCCTCAGAGCTCAGCTCATCCAAAACCAGCCTCCCTGGAAACGCAGTTTGCCTTCTTTGTGTTGGGGGGAGCACGTGAAGTGCGGTGACCTTAGTGTTAGGTTGTTTCTGCTCTGAAAAACCTCAGGTTTTCCACTGACCAGGAAAGAAATACAAGAATGTTATTTTCCCAGATTTTCTTTTTTTGAAAAAGGCAAGCAAAGCATCAGGAAAGGAACCCAGGTCCAATGAAGTAATTAGTGTCTTTACTAATAAACCCGGCAGAGGCAGAAGCACCTTTAAGCTGTCTGCCCTCTGGAGAAGCACCAGCCACAGTTCTTCAGGGGGTAGTTGTGCTCCAGAAGAGTGTCCACAGTTATAAAATGCACAAAAACTTTGTTCTGAATCATCCAGTTAAGACTTCAGCTTCTGTTTTTACTCTTCGCTCCAGTCTCCAGGTTTGGGCTCCCACTCCGGGTGCCCAGGGCTCCTTCCCCAAAGTTGGTTATTAATGGGCAGGCATCTGAGCCTGATGCAGTTCTGCCCCCAGCCTGGCAAGCTTGAAGTGTGCGGAGGGTGCCAGGTCCTCGCAGCGTCTCCAGATAGAGAGGGGAGGGCTCCAAGGTCATTCAAGGGAACAGCAGGAATGAGCTCAGGGGCTCCACAGTAGAGTGGAACAGGCACTTGGGAACACTGCAGGCAGGAAGACAAAGGCTGGAATCTGTCTCTGGAGGATGGAGGAGGGAGAACCTTGCCAAGCTGGCTGTCGAGGAGTGGGAGCCAGGTGCCACCATCTGCAGACCCAGCTCGGAGGCTGTTCTCTCCCCAAGGGCTCTGGGCCTGCCAGATCCCTGCTGCCATCACTGGCCACCAGTGTTGTGGCTGCCACCACCATCTCTCCATGGCCTACATCACCTTGCTTTTGTCCCTCTGTGTCTCCACCTGCCCTACGGTCCTCATCCTGCTCTCACCTTTGTATTCATTCCCCTCTCACTGTTTCCCTGGCCCTTCCCTGGTGGTCTTCGCCCTGACCCTATCCTCCTCCCATACCCTGTCCTTCCCTGGCAGTTCTTCCCCTCTTTGTTTTAAAAAATGTCCTTTGCCACTGGTTGTGCAAACCTGAATCCAGTCCTGCAGTGTGCACTGTATATAGTGATCCGACCCTCACTTTTCTTTTTAACCACAAGAATGCTACTTTCTGCCCCTGATTGCTTAAAAAGAATCCTGCAGAACACCCTGAATTATGGATTAATCTGGTCAGTATACAGTATTTTTTGTTTTCTTGACTACTATTTTGTATAAACAGGAAGTTAGTTATAGAGACTTTGTTTCTTTCCTTTTTTACAGTACTGTGATTGAACTCAGGACCCTGCGCTTGCCACGTAGGCACTTATGCCGCTGAGGTATCTCCCCGGCCTAGTTATAGACTTGCTAAAAATTTTTTTTCTTTTGATACCAGGAATTAAACTCAGGGCCTCACACTTGCCAGTCAGGCACTGTGCCCCTGAGCTATATCACTGGCTCTGGACTTCATATGTTCCAAGTGATGTCCTTTGCATGGTGTACCATACAGCGGTGCCCAGATGTGTCTTACACCTACCTTCTTAAAAGATTAAGTTACCCTTGAAATTCTCTCTGATGCCGCAACTGCATCTAAGTCCAGGTAGCATCACTTTGTCTGAGACCAAGACTTAATATATCCTGCATTACTATATACTTGGCAAAGTACAAGTGTAAGAACATGTACATCTCCCAAGTGTAAGTAGGGATGTAAGTGGGAATATGTATTTTACACATATACTTGCAAACACTAGTGTGTACTTCGTGATATCCCATTGTCTACCTCCCTAAACACTGAGGCAGTGTGTGTGTGTGTGTGTGTGTGTGTGTGTGTGTGTGTGTGTGTGTTGCAGTGGTCAGGGGGCCCTATTCCTACCCCAGCCACTCACACAGCATATGGCTGCCTATAGTTATAACTCAGTAAATGTTTCTTTGCTGTTCAAAGAATGCAGGCTTTAGAATCAAACAAAGTACACATCAGGTCTAGTTTGGCTCTTTTATTCCCTTTGAACGTAGACAAATTATTTAACTTTTGTAGCTTCACATGTCTCATCCACTAACAGCCAGTGATAACTCTTGCAGAATTTTGGGGAGGAGACTGTGAACCATGCCGGGGAGAGTGCCTCACATTTAGCCAACCCTTGAATCATTGTGTTTCTTCCCTGTGTGGTTAATGGCACTGAAAGTTACATACTAATCCCAGCTCTTGCTGAAGAAGTATGTTTTCAAGGTCACTAAGCTTTTCAAGATGAAAAGGTAGAAAACCAGGCAGGTCCAGAGCATCAGTGAGAGCCTGAGGGG